GGGCGCGGGGTGGGGGGGAGGGGAGGTGTTTGCTTTGGCTTTTTGGCTGTGTTTGCGCACCAACACCTTTGCATTAGGTCCTGGGACAGAGCGACGTGGCGCTGGCCGCCGCCGAGTTATTTGGGCGCCAATTCCAGGTAGCAGAAGGCGAGCAGGGCAGAGCGGGAGTCTGTGCTGGCGTGCACGTAGGGCAATCTGCGTGGGCAAGGGCATCCCTTTGCCCAGCTTGACCCAGGGTGGCACGTCAAGGGGGGGCACGGTGCGGAGCCCGGCAGCAGGCAACGCACTATAACCACCACCTTCTCCTCCTCTTCTTCCTTGCCAGCCCGGAGGTGGCTGTGATGATCTGCCTTGCCCACCTCTCACCAAGCCCGTGGCTTGGGCTGGCACCACAGCCCCTGCCCAGTGGTAGCGGTGGGGATGTCCCAGTCGTTCCCTGCCCCGGCATCCCGCCAGGTGGTGGGTGGCTTTCCCTGGTTGGTTTGCCTGGAAAGCGGATGAGCTTGGGAGTCTGGCGAGGAGGTTTCAGGGGTTTGGGAGCACCGCTGCATCCCCGGGGCAGGTCCCTCCTCCGGCATGGAGTGCCCCATGGGGCAGGAGGCGTTTTTTGGGAGCTGCTGGCTTGCTGCCAGGGGTGCTGCTTCCCTCCCCACGGTGGTGTGGGTGCTGGCAAAAAATACAGCCAAAACACTAGTCTGAAGGAATACTGAATCTTTTTTCTTTTTTTTTTTTTTTTGTTTTAAATTGCATTTTTAGCTATTGCACAAAAATTAATGCGAGCCCATTATTATTATTTTCTCCCTGCCGCGTCACATAGTTGGTGGCCGCAGTGCCAAGCCAGTGCCTGGAAATGATGTAAAACCACGAGTTCGGCGTGCAGCTCGGGCAGCCGGAGCGCTTCTTCCATGCCACGTGCCGGGGCAGGTCAGCTCTCCGGCCGGTATCCTGGCTGCCTGTGCCCGCGCGAGAGCCCGGCACCCTTCCCACAGGGGGCCCGGAGCAGGGCAGCCCGCGTGGGACCATCCACGCTGGTGATGGGGCCTCATGGAGTGCCTCCATCACACGTGTTTTGGGGGTGTCCTGCCTAGCCCCTGCACCCCACAGCACAGGAGGAGGGTCCCGGACATGCGTGCCATCCCGTAGCTGCGGGGGCGAGCGCCGGAAAGCAAATCGCTGCCTATTGCTTTAAGTTCCCTCTCTGGCCAAGGGGATTTTTACTTTTTTTTTTTTTTTTTTCTCTTGCGCTATGAATGGGTTTTGCTGTAAATTATAGCTTTGCACACATTCCCTTGGGCCGAGGAAAATAACCTCCGCCGAAAAGCCAGCCTGGATTGGTGACTGGCTCCCCCCTCTCCGCTCCCTAATTGAAACCAAATGTGCAAGATGTAGGATTGTGGGATTTCTGGCCGGCTCCCAGGAATCCGCAGAATGTGAACGCGCTCCCAGAGGCATCTTGCATCAGCCCGGGGAAGTTCGCTCCTCGCCTGGCTCCCCCGGCCCGGGGGGGGGCGCGAGGAGCCCGCCTGCCCGCCGCCACCTCCCCGCTCCGGTGAGTCGCTCTCGGCTGCGTGGGGAGGCATTTGCCCCCCTCCAGGCTTGGGACTTTTTGGGGGGATGCAGGCTCAGCTGTGCTCTGCGGCACAGCCTGGGCAGAGGGACCGAGGCATGGGTTAGCCCGGGAAGGGGATGTGGCAGCAGCAGGGCAGCGTCCCCACTCGGGGAAGTGACATTTGGCCCCTTCTCTTCATTTTTCCCCACACGGCCAGCGTTTCCCCCCGTGCCTCGTGCCAGGCCAGCGTTTCCTTGTGTCCCTCCTTGGCTCCCGCCTGTGTGTCTGTTGGCAGAGCCGGTGGCGGCGTTGGCCAGCCAGAGAGGCCCCGCTGTCCCCTGGGGTCCTCCAGCCAGGCACCAGGTCACACTGGGGAGGGGGACACAAGGCCACCGGTCTGGTGCTCCTGAGCATCCTGCTCCCCATCCTGGTGCTGGGGACCTGCTTGGGGCTTCCCAGCCCTGCGCCGCTGCAGCGGGGCAATGCCGTGCCCCGTGGCAGGGTGACGCTGTGACGCCGTGGCACGGAACAGGGAGGAAGGGCTGCAAGTTTTCAGCTGGTGGGGAGCGCTTGCTGGGTGCAGCACTCACAGGACCCATGTCCCCAGGGCCCGTGGCCATG